TTTAGTTTATTGTCTATCTTTTGTGTAATAAATTTCTGTTCAGTTGTGAAAGAAAATCTTCAGCCTCATATAAATATGTTTCAATGATTGACCACCTGTTAGCTCACAAAAAGCAAACATAGGATCCATTAAGCCAGGTTTCACTCTGACAGCTAACTCATCCAGGAGTAGCATCAGCTGGGATCATGACACAAGTGTTAAAGTCCAAATCCAAGGCAGTACAGTACTGTCAGAGATAATTTTGTTATGGCAAGCATGAAATATCCCATAGCACTATTTGGGAGAAGAACAGGAGACTTACCCAAAGTATCCTGACTTCTTTAACATCAGAAGAAAAATCCTCAGATTCTCTGGCATCACCACATTGTTGTTTCTACATTGCACATGTAGCTACACTTGGAAAGTACTTCATCGGCTGTAAAGTACTTTGAGACGCCTGTGAAGCACCATCTGATTTTAATTTTTTTTCTCTTTCATTATCCTTTATTGTGTCATCTCCAACTCTTTTTATTGGGCCCAAGTAGATATGTCAAGTCTAATCAACAGCTCCCACTTCCTCAATTTACTCAATGCCATCTATTCTTTCTATATAGATTCAGGCCCATCTTCACCCATCTTATGAACTTAGTTGATAATAGGCATATAGACAATGTGAAAAAGTGTACACTTCCTGGATTAAAAAGAGTTTCATGGAAATTAAGTCAACATCTGCTGATTACAGAAAGCAAACGACTTTCAAACACTGCCAAGCAAAGCTTTTACAGAGATAATTGCTGGAAACCTGGCTGTGGAAGAGGTTACTGGACTTCATGTTGATGGCTGTCTAGCAAACCTTTTGGACTTCACAAATTGGGGAGCCAGAAGGAAGCAAAACCTCCAAAGCTACAGCAAGGCTACATAACTCTCTCTTCGCTCTCATAGTTGAAGTATTTGGGATCCTGATAAGTGTCCACATCTCAGTTTTTTGACTACCTTGTAAATCCTGAGAATGTGAACTGTGACCACTTTCCAAAAACTTGGAACCATCTTGATTTTCATCTGAAATGAAACTTTGTTTGGAAAAGCTTCAATTGGTCTACAGCTACGGGGAGACGATGACCTTGTGGTATTATCACTGGATTGCTAATCCAGAGACCCATGAAATGTTCTGGGGATCTGGGTTCAAATCCTACCATTACAAATGATGGAATTTGAATTTGGTTACAAAAATTAAGAGTCTGATGATGACCATGAAACCATTGTCGGTTGTTTGCAAGAAGTCATCTGGTTCACTAATGTACTCTAGGGAAGGAAACTGCCATTCTTACATGGTCTGGACTACATGTGACTCCAGACCCACAGCAATGTGGTTGACTCTTAACTACCCTCTGGGATGGGCAATAAATGCTGGCCGAGCCAGTGAGGCCCTCAAGCTGTGAATGAATAGCAAAAAGCTTGATTCCAGCTTGGATATTAATCAGTCTTGCCACTTCTTTTTAGGGATTAATTATTTTAATGTTCACTGAAGAAACCTGAAGGTTCTTTTTGTCTGCATTGCAGTTCAAAAGGGAAACAGGTGTTTGCATCCAAACATTTATACTACTTAAACATCTATGTGACTCATGGAGTAGTGGGGCCTTGATTCGCATCATATTCCTCCTTTCACAGGTGTAATGCCTCCAAAATCTTTATTAAAAACAATGACTTCAAAAGGGCAAATCTGATATATCACGTCATTTTCACGTTCCAACTCTAATTATACCCAAGTCCAGAAAAAGAGTTGAACAATGCTCTACATATGTGAAAGTTCTCCAAATTCCTACTTATTAAAAAGGTGGCCAACTTTCTTTCAAGTCTAGTCTTCAAATTCTTATCAAACACAACCTTGCTTACTTACGTATTTACTTCATTGTCTTAAGGTACTAGTTCTCTGAGCTGTCACTTTTTAATTTGCAATATTTCCCCTCCATATATTGCCCATGATCAAATAAAATCTCAGCATGTGGTCAGCTGCTCTAAGTCTGATTTATTTGCAATTTTCAAAACTGTGGAATTCTCAGCCTTCAGCTTCACTATACTGCAGTTTTATAAGCAGGTAATACAATGCAGGTGTTTATAAAGTCATACAGCATGGAAACAGATCCTTCAGTCCACCCCATGCTGAACATAATCCCAAGCTAAACTTGTCCCACCTGCCTGCTCCTGGCCCATATCCCCCCAAACCTTTCCTATTTGAATACTTACCTGAGTGTCTTTTAAATGTTCTAACTGTTCCCACATCCACCACTTCCTCGGGAAATTCATTTCACATGTGAACCTCCCTCTGTGTAAAGAATTGCCCCTCGTATATTTTAAATGTCTCTCCTCTCATCTTAAAAAATATGCCCCCGAGTCTTGAAATCCCCCATCCTAGCGAAAAGACACCTACCACTAACCCTATTTATACACCTCATAATTTTATGAACCTCTCCAAGGTCACCTTTCAAACTCCTAAGCTCCAATGAAAGAAAGTCCCCTATCTAGCCTTTCTTTGTAACTCAAATCTTCTATACCCGACAACATCATGGTAAAATCCCGAACTTAATAATATCCTTCTAATAACAGGATGACCAGAACTGGACACAGTACTCCAGGATAGAACATAAGAACAAAAGAAATAGGAGCAGGATTAGGTCATCCGGCCCCTTTAGCCTGTTTCGCCAATCAAGAAGATCATGGCTGATCTTTTCATGGACTCAGCTTTACTTACCTGCCCGCTCACCATAACCTTTAATTCCTTTACTGTTCAAAAATCTATCAAATATCTTAAAAGCATTCAATGAGGTAGCTGCAACTGCTTCACTGGGCAGGGAATTCCACAGATTCACAACCCTTTGGATGAAGAAGTTCCTCCTCAACTCAATCCTTTTTATTCTTTATTCAGTCACAGGATGAGGGCATCACTGACTAAGCTGCATTTATTGCCCATCCCTAATTACTCAGAGGGCAGTTGAGAGTCAACCATATTGCTGTGGGTCTGGAGTCACATGTAGGCCAGACCAGGTAAGATGGCAGTTTTCTTCCCCAAAGGACATTAGTGAACCAGATGGGTTTTTCCCTACATTGACAATGGATTCACAGTCATCATTAGATTCTTAATTCCAGACATTTATGGAATTCAAATTTCACCATCTGCCGTGGCAGTATTCGAACCTGGGTCCCCAGAACATTATCTGGGTCTCTGGATTAACAGTCTAGCGATAATTCCACTAGGTCATCGCCTCCCCCTAATTTTGAGGTTATATGCCCTAGTTCTAGTTTCATCCGCCAGTGGAGACAACTTCCCTGCTTCTGTCTTATCTATTCCCTTCATAATATTATACATTTCTATAAGATCCCTCCCATTCTTCTAAATTCCAATGAGTATAGTCCCAATCTACTCAATCTGTCCTCATAAGCCAACCCTCTCAACATCAGAGTCAACCTAGTCGATCAACCTCTGCACCCCTCTAGTGCTACTACATCCTTTCTCAAATAAGGAGACCAAAACAGTACACAGCACTCCAAGTGTGACCTCACTAGCCCCCTACACAGGTGCAGCATAACCTCCCTGCTTTAAACTTCATCCCTCTAGCAATGGCAGACAAAATTCCATTTGCCTTCTTAATTACCTGCTGCACCTACAAACCAACTTTTTGTGATTCATGCACAAGGACACCCAGGTCCCTCTGCACAGCAGCACGCTGCAATTTTTCACCATTTAACCAGTAGTCCATTTTGCTATTATTCCTACCAAAATGAATGACCTTACATTTACCAACATTGTACTCCATCTGCCAACACTTGCCCACTCATTTTACCTATCCGTATACCTCTGCAGACTTTCAGTGGTCCTCTGCACACTATGCCCTACTCCTCATCTTAGTGTCATCTGTGAACTTTGACACACTGCACCTGGTCCCCAACTCCAAATCATCTATGTAAAAGGCCTCACTAATACCTTGTACAACCTCAACATGACTTCCCAACTCCTATAGGATTCTGCAATGGTGAGAAGTCATGGCAGATAAGATCAGTCATGATCGCGTTTAACAGTGAAGCAGGCTCTTTTGCTCCTTATTCATGTGTTTTATCGTATGTACAGCTTGGCATGACAAACATGAATTGGTTCCACCCAAGAAACTACATTTATTCAGAACATAAAGAAAATCATACTCAATAATGGGTCTAACTAACTTGTCTCATTGTGCAAAGTACTGCTGCTGTCTTTCAGAATAGAACATGATTAAACCAATTCAGCCAAATTTAATATTGCTGAACCAATGATAGCACACAAACTTAGAAATAAAGGAAAGCATTAATCTGCGATATATGATCTCAGTTTACAGCTGTGCAGGGCACATGAACCTTCAACAGTGGATACTAAGACTCAATACCTAAGTAGATCTTGCTTCCCATGTTTTGGGAAGGAGATAGAGAATTAAGTGTTAGTAGCTGAATGGGGAAAAGGATGTGATCTGTCCAAAATTCTATTTCATGCAACACAAAGGCCTCTTGTTGAAGGTTAACCCAACAGTCTTGGCAATCCTTTCTGTGATAGATAATTTATGTACTCTGTATCCTTTCATGCTTCAACACAGCAACATGGGAATTTTGAAAGACACAAACCGAAACCTTAGAAATTTAATCCATTATTTGGGATACTCGAAGCACCATAACATTAAGTTGCGGTAGAAAACTTTGTAGCAGAAATCTTTGTGAATATAGTGGGAAACTTTAAGTTAGTGAAATTATTTGTGCTCTCCTGTATATCCATAAAGATATGAAGGAAACCACTGTTCACAATAAGAAAGAGAAAACAAGAACAGAAAAATGGGAAATTATTGGACCCCCACACAAACAAGTATCACACTTGGCATGCAGATTAACACACATCCCACAATCCCATGCATAGTGGGGCTCTGACCCCTATTGGTAATTTCTGGTAATGCACACTGATTTTTAATTTTTTTTACGAACAGACTCAACAGGCCAGCTGGTACCTGTTTAATGTATCATAGAACTTGTTGTCAGAGATCAGCTGATTTCTCCACGGAGAATCTCGTCTATGAAAAAGAAAAAGAAACTTGAAAATAAATTCTCACTATTGAGGGTGTGTGAAAGGATCAGGATCAACACAATGTAGCTTTTCCTAAGGGTACACTACCAATAACAGGATTGGGAAGTTACTGAAGAATTGCAAGCAGTGTTGGGTACTCAACAATTTCGTGTACAACTGGGGCATTTTCTCCTGTCTCTGTGTTTAAAAGATTGTTACAGAACATAAAATATCACAAAGTAAATTCTAAAGTTCAAATGTTCATAAAATAGCTTATTTCAGTTATTCAGCTCAAAATACACCGCTATTGAAACAGATGAATTCTGTCATTTTGCAGGCTGCAGTGACAGGTTAGTGCCAATACACATCCATTAAAATACTGATCTCACAGCAACCAACCCCTGTCCTGTCCCCCACATACTATAATTGGCCACTCTGCCCTCTTCTCCATCACAACACATTGTAATCTACCGTTTCCTCCATCTCAATCAGTAATGACTGCCCCCTCTGTTTCCCCTCTGCTCTCACAGCACAATAATCAGCCCCCCTGGCTATACACACAGCAGTCAGGCCCTCTTCCAGTATGCATGTACATTAATCAACCCGTCTTAAGCTGCTAAACTAAAGTCTATTTAATCATTACATTTCTGGAGAGTTATACAAAGAACAACAGCAATGAGGAGGCAGTTATTGGTCATTTATTCCAGAATTCAAAGAGCTAAAACATAAACAGAGCCTTTAATAGGTACTTAGTTTCAAAATGAAAAGTATTTTTCTGAATATGGAGCTGGATTTTAAGGGAAGCTTTAAGTATGATACAGGAATAATGGTGTTCATGCTGACTCTGGAACATCTAATAGAGACACCTTATCAGAAAATGGGAGTTTTAGATTTTTAGATTGCTGAGAGTTGGCCACAAGCTAATTCCTTCATGTTGCAAGATATGAACTGAATCCTCGATCTAAGATTGATACAGTAACAGATTCAAAACTGGCTGAATAAGACTTTATTCATAATCTTTTCTTTGCAGCAGTATTCATGCTTATTTTCTGGAGATAATATCATATAAGCATGGACTAAACACAAGTAATTATTTTGAGAACTGCAACAACCACCAACATTGAAATAAAATAAACCTTAGGACACATGAAACCAGAGTTGATGTAAGATTGGTGTTAAGGTTGGTCTGAAGTTGATACAGTAACAGATTCAAAACTGACTAAGTCTCAGCTTCATCATGACACTCCATCTGCCATCTAAGGTCACACTATTTCAAAAACGAGGAGGGAACTACTCAAGTTTGTTGGCTGTTATTTACTGCTAACAACATCACTAAAAACAGATGGTCTGATCATTTGTGTATTGCTGTTTGTGGGAGCCTATTGCGTGCTAACTAGCTGGTGTGCTCCCTACACTACAACAGTTACCACAATATTTCAAAAGTACTGTATTTTCTAAAAAGCAGTTTCTGTTCTTTTTGGCAAGATCAGAAATTTGTTTCACATTCTTTTTTGCCAGTGTTGCTCAGGTTCTGCAGAAGACAGAAGAGTAGAAACCCAAATCCTTGGTAAGTACAGTTACCTTACGGGTGTTTGAAAGATGATTTTTGTCATGAAATCCAAATTTAAAGAGGTATAAATTGAAAAGGTAGCCTTTTAACTGCTGCTCTTTTCATATAAATGGTAAATATTATGATTTAAAGAGCAAGGCGTTCTCCTTAAAATGTTTGTCTTTGATACTGAAAAATGAAAAATAAAGTACTGTTGCGCAGCCAAGTGACAGATGTAAGCTAAAGGTGGTATATCTTTGTACCTTGCCTGCCATGGTGCATGAAGGACGCCATGATCTGCAGGATATTCAGGTTGCAACAGAAAGTCATCTGAGATTATGTGATCAGTCCTGTGGTGGGAACTGAACCCACAACTTCTGATTTAGAGAAGGCAGTGCAACCACTCAGCTAAGCTTGACATGATGAAAAGCACAAGAACACCATGCAAATGGTCAAAGCAAAATATAGGTACAGATGCATCTGAAGACAGTTACAATTTTTGTCAGCTGGATACAACAGAACAATATATTTGATGTGAAATGTCTAGGTCCTGTTTACACTGGAACAAACTATTTTGTTTTAATTTTAATTCATTGCCCTTTACCCATAGCTTTCCATATACTACAATAAAAGAAGGAGCAACTGTCAGGTCAAAGTTGATCAAAATGATTCCCTGGAAATCTGTCTGACATCAGATACTCGTTCTGAAGGAGGATAAACCTAAATTCCTGGTAAGTGTGGAGTTCTGAAGAGTTGCCATATCAAACTCAAAACACTAGCTTTATTTTTCTCTCCACTGATGCTGCCAGACTTGCTGAGCTTTGACAGTACTTTGTTTTTATTTCTGATCTCCAGCATCTGACACATCATCTGAGGACGTGCTCATATCTTCCTGCTCACTACAGAATATCTTAAGAATTAATGAAGTATCCTGTTGTTACGTTATGACACTGTAACAATACAATGGCTTTCATGTATTTTGTACATTTTTTTATGAAGGTTGAGACAGAGGTATCAAATGGTCTGCTCTAAGCCAATAAATTAAACAGCTTGTGAAGCCTTGAGTTTTTTTTTTAGATGTTGGAACAATAGAAGCAGCCTGAATGGGTGGGGTCAAGCTCCCACAAAACCAGAATTTTTAGTTTTAGCTTTCTGCAGTTGCTGGGATCTTGAAGCTGGTTGTGGAAGCTCTTATTCCTCTCTCTGTTACAGATAAAGGCTGGGTTCTCTTTTTTCTGCTAGAATTGCATATGAGATAATGTATTTTAATCAATTTGCCTTAGCCAAAGGAGTATTTATGGGAAGTAACTATATTGGAGCAGTTAATTAGTGGCAGTTAATATATATATTTTGTTAAGCATTTCAATAGAGTTAAGTTAAGCTAATTCTTTTATTTTTATTTTGTCTTTTATTTTGTCTGTATTTTAACTGTAGTGTCAAAATAAAGTGTGTTTTGCTTAAAGTTGAGAAATTTGACCAATCAGATTGCATCTAGAATGTAATATCTTACACTTACCTCTAAAATAAGAAAAAGTTAGGATCTAGGCTACTATATTTTAAGCGGGGTTGGTCTGGTCCATAACATACAAAGCTGCGTACCTGCATTATATATTGCTGTATGATCTTACCTGGATATTACTGGCGATTTGTTGCCATTTACAGTGCTTGATCTTTCCCAAGGCTTTCTAGTTGTTTCTAAAAAAAAAACACATGTATTCAATTCACAATACAGTTTTTTAAAACTGCAATTGTTTAAACAAAGCAATTTGCGACATGTGTTTCTAAGGTGACGGCCTAGTGGTATTATCATTGGACTATTGATCCAGAGACCCAGTAATATCCTGGGACCTGGGTTGGAATCCTGGCATGGCAGATGGCGGAATTTGAATTCAACAGAATATCTGAAATTAAAACTCTAACGATGACCGTGAATCCATTGCCGATTGATAGAAAAACCCATCTGGTTCACTAATGACGTTTAGGGAAACAAACTGCCATCCTTATCTGGTCTGGCCTACATTTGACTCCAAAATTAAAGCAATACAGTTGATTTGTAATTGCTCTCTGGACAATTAGGGATGGGCAATAAATGCTGGCCTAACTGGTGATGCCTTCATCCTGTGAATGAATAAAAAGATGAGAAGAAAAAGGTCCATAATGGGAAGGAGGGCTCATAGGGGGAAGAGAGAGAGCGAAGAGAGATTGATCGTATGGGAATATGTAGGAGTGAGCTACAAGCTGGAATTTAGGCAGGAGATTCAGATGCCAGCAATCCAAAACTGTCTGTTCAATAACAGGTTGCAGCATTCCCTTTCATTATAGATTTTCATGTACTTACTCTGCACACATTTCTCTGTAATTTCCCTGCAGATTTGTTCATCTACATCCTTTTCACTAGTTGGTGGACTGTAGACTGTCTATGTAACTGGACCATTTTTATTCCATAGTTCTAGCTAAATTGCTTCCATTCTGGAAATGTGTGTAACGTTACAGCAGAACTTGTGCATGAGCAAGGTAATTCAATCCAAAACCTCCGGATTCACACACTTAACTGGTCAAATGTAAACTCCGGAAGCTACTATCAGATTTATTCCATAATAACAAGGAGTATAACAAGCCTTACCATCAATCTCAATGCAAAAATCTAGCCCATTATATCTCTCTTTACAGCAATGCATTTTCAACCTGGATTTGAATTGGCATTCTGCTTATGTCGACTCTGATTCGTAGAGGTATTTTGCTATGGGGAAAATGTACTCATTCATGTTTATTGACAGATAATTGCTAAGCTTTGTTTAAATTTTAACCAAGTTGGATGTTGCATTGGTTAATCAAAGGAGGACTGATGCTAGCCAGTCAACCAACCACAGAGAGTGGTGAAAAAGGAATAAAAACAAAGGGTGGACTGTTCTTTTATCTGGGGTTTTTGGGCAGGAGACAGTGTTCCTCTGGTATGTGCTGGGCTGAGTTTTTTAGGTTTTGCTGTCTCCACTTATCGCATCATTGAAAGTCATGGGAACAAAACCCCAGTCTATAAGATATCAGGAAAGGTCTCCAGAAAGCTACATTGACCAGAAACTTCAGAATTCAAGCAAGATACAATCCTACACGTCTGTAATACAACACATCAGATTTCATGAAGGCTTGGTATTCATCACTGGATCAATTATCAAACTGACAATTTACAATTTTTAAAAAATTTATCCCATAACTGTCTCTGTCTATCTGTCAAAGAGTTGGGGTTGGTGATCAAAGAACATTGGGCTTAGATTGTAGATACTAATTAGATTAACTTCTGGTTCATCTATGTTCTGCTAAAGTTACATTATTAATAATAAATTTTCAAAGTTTAAAGTTATAGACAACACAGTGTGGAGCTGAAGGAACACAGCAGGCCAGGCAGCATCAGAGAGGAGCAGGAAAGTTGACGTTTCAGGTCGGGACACTTTTCCAGAAAATTTTCAGAAGATTTTCTGAAGAAGGATCCCGACCCAAAACATCAATTTCCAGCTCCTCTGATGCTGCCTGGCCTGCTGTATTCCTTAAGCTCCACAATGTGTTGTCTCTGACTCCAGCATCTGCAGTTCTTGCTATCTCCAAAATTTAAGTTATAAACTTGGTGGCCAAGGTCTGTTATCTGATAAGTCTGGTTGGGAACAGTTGAGCAATTTTGAGGTCACTGAATGTTTTAATTTCACTGTGTTACGAATCCGGTGTTAGTGAGTCTGATTTGGTCTATCCCTGCACTTTAGTATTAACACACGCAGCTTTCAGTACATGCAAGTGCACCACACTGCAAGCCCTAATTGACAATCCTGAATTAGTTGTCAACGTAAATCATCACACTCAAGGGATTACCCAACAAATAGTGTTCAATTGTAGAATTGTGTCTAATGTTGGACACTGCATTACAAATTTTACAAGCATGGGCTGGTTGAGTATGGTTAGTATCTTGTTTGTTTTACAAATAGTTGAAGGCATATACTGTCCGAAATGGTTCACCTCTCTTTGGGACAAATAGCCTACATATGTGGCATTACATTGGTACTGAAATCCATATAACTATTACTCATTGTGTGACAGGCAGAACATGTATTCGGCTTGACAGTAGCAACCTGTTAGTGGTGACCATTACTTGTGTTTCGGACACTGAAAAAAGCAATCTCATTTGACTGTTCCATTTCAAATGTGAATATGAGTGCAGGATGGAGTCCATTAAGACATGCAAGGATTTCCTTACATCAGTTGCAAGTTCAAATTTAGCAAAATATCACCTACATATCAGAAATATGCAAGGAGTGGGAGGCTTCAGGGGAAGTGTCACAGAGGCAACGTCACTGGACAAGTAATCCAGAATTCCAGATAAATGTTCTGGGGATATGGATTGAAATCCCCAGAATGGTAGATGGTAAAAACTGAATTCAATAAAAATGTAGAATAAAAAATGCTGACCTAATGGCAACCATGTAACCCCTGTTGATTGTTGTAAAATAACATATAATAATAACAAAATAAATTGTCATTCACTAATGTTCTTTAGAGAAGAAAATCTGCCATTCTTGTCTGGTCTGGCCTACATGTGATTCCAGATCTGAAGCATTTTGGTTAACTCTAGGGATGCGTGTTGTGTTAGCCTAGCCAGTAATGCGCAGGCCCCTTGAACAAATTTTTAACAATATTCCACTGAAAACATGTTTCTCATGGAATCCAACTAAGATATTTGTGAAAGGTGGGATCCCATGTTTTTGTTAGAATGTCAGAGGCTGACGGGTGACCTGATAGAAGTACATACACTTATGAGAGGCATAGACAGGGTGGATAGTCAGAATATTTTTCCCAGAGTAGAAATGTCAAACATCACACGATTAGAATCTGTCTATGTTTTAAACTGGGGTTAGGTTTTTTTTGAGGAAAACAGAATGTATCTGCAACTACACAAACATCCTGGATGAAATAATTTGTGTGTGTGTGTGTGTGTGTGTGTGTGTGTGTGTGTGTGTGTGTTTGAGAGAGTGTGAGTGTGAGTGTGGTACCCTTCGTCGTCCAGTAGTTCCCCAGAGTGGAGAAACTACGCCATGTTCTTTAACACATAATGGACAGTGATGAGTACCTCACCACTATCTTCCCTATGCCTCCACTTCTGACCTTCAAACAACTGCCAAACCTTAGACCATTGTTCGCAGCAAACTACCCAGCGTTCAGGATAACATTGACCCTGCCGTGGCAACCTCTGCAAGGCATGCCAGATCATCCACATGGATACTATCGTCACTCATGGGAACACCACGCACCAAGTACACGGCAGATACTCATGTGACTCAGCCAACGCTGTCTATCTCATACGCTGCAGGGAAGGATGCCCCGCGGCATGGTATATAGACGAGACCATGCAGACGCTACGACAATGGATGAATGGACACCTTACAATGATCACTGGACAGGAGTGTTCCCTCCCAGTGGGGAACACTTCAGGGGTCAAGGACATTCAGCCTCTGATCTTCGGGTAAGCGTGCTTCAAGGTGAAGTTCAAGATATACAATAATGCAAAAATCGCTGAACAGAGGGTGATAGCCAAAATCCATACCCATGAGGATGGCCTCAATCGTAATCTTGGGTTCATGTCGCACTACAGGAGACCCCACCATACTATATATTCCCACATACACATTCACACTCTCACATGAGCATACTCTCTCTCTTTCTCTCTCACACACACATGCAAATTATTTCATCCAAGATGTCTGTGTAGTTGCAGATACATTCTGTTTTCCTTAAAGAAATAAAACCTTATCCCAGTTTAAAATATAGACAGATTCTAAGCAAGATCTCACACCTAAACTGCATTGTCTGACCTGAGATGTCACCTCTTGTACATTGATAAAACCTTAATTATCTTGGAACAATGACTTCAGAGGAATCTGGATTTTGCATTTCAATCAGTAGTCTCCTTCCTAACTGATGAAAGATTCAATAAGAGGCAGCCAGTTTTAGGGTTGTTACCTTTCTGCTTATAACTTCTGTGTCTTATACCCTCTCCCTCACACTACACCCGAGGAAGGAGCTGAACTCCAAAAGCTTGCATTTTCAAATAAACCTGTTTAACTATAAGCTGGTGTCATGTGATTTTCAACCTTGTCCACCCTAGTCCAACACCAGCATCTCCACATCATGTCAAATACTGGGCAGCGGAGGTTTAAAGTGAAGGGGGTAGTTTAAAAGAGCTGTGCGAGGCAACGTTTTTACACAGAGGGTGGTAGATGCCTGGAACAAGGGAGATGCCAGTGGAAATGACAAAATATATGGAGGTTAAAATAATCCTTGGCAAAGTACTGATATATGGTAAAGAACTCTATGATGGCATATTTGATGTGCAGAAACACTGACTCATGACCCATCTTATTGATTTTACAGAAAATCTGTGGAATTTACAGCAATGGTCTCCAACCGAGCAACTGTCAATGGATTAAGATTTACAGATAACATTATGGAACATGGGCATCGCTGGCTGGCCAGCATTTATTGCCCAGACCTAGTTGTCCTTGAACTGCATGGCTTAGTAGACATTTCAGAGGGCTTTTGAGAGTCAATCACATTGCTCTGGGTGTGGAGTCACATGTAGGCCAGATCAGGCAGATTTCCTTCCCTGAAGGACATTAGCAGGCCATATGGGTTATTCGGATAATCAGCAATGGTTTCATGGTCATCAGTAGATTCATAAGTCCAGAGCGTTTTTTCATCGAATTCAAATTCCACCATTATTAGAACATTCCTCAGAACATTAGCCAAGTTTCTGGATTAATAGTCTAGCAATAATACCACTAGGCCATCACCTCCCCTTATGTGGGTAAGTAAGCTGTAATAAAGTGAAAAAGAAATTTACATATGGATATGGACAGATTAGATAAATTGAGGTTGGTTGGCTCGCCGAGCTGGTTTGTTGTTCTGCAGGTGTTTCGTTACCATTCTCGGTAACATCGTCAGTGCAGCCTCCGATGAAGCATCGGTGTGTTTTCCCGCCTGGTTTTTAAACTCTGGGGTCCGTTGAGATGGATTGCCTCACTTCCAGGTTTCCTTCGTAGTGGAAAGTATATGGGGTCGAGTTCAATGTGTTTATTAATAGCATGCTTCGTGGAGTGCCATGCTTCCAGGAATCTACAAAATCCCCTGCAGAGACTGCGAGAAACACTACATCGGACAAACAGGAAGGAAACTAACAACAAGAGTACATGAACACCAACTGGCTACAAAAAAACACGACCAATACTCACTCATCTCAATCCACATGGACAAGGAAAACCACGACTTCGACTGGGACAACACCAAGATCCTGGGACAGGCCAGGCAGAGACAAGCACGAGAATTCCTGGAAGCATGGCACTCCACGAAGCATGCTATTAATGAACACATTGAACTCGACCCCGTATACATTCCACTACAAAGGAAACCCAGAAATGAGGCAATCCATCTCAACGGACCCCAGAGTTTAAAAACTAGGCGGAAAACACACCGAAGCTTCATCAAAGGCTGCACTGAGGATCTAACCAAGCATGGTAACGAAATGTCTGCAAAACAACAAACCAGCTCGGTCAGCCAACCAACCTCAACACCCACAACCTGAGCTACAGATCTACTCCAAAACCTTAGAGATTAGATAGGTGCGCCAAAATTTGGTAGATGGAGTTTAATGTGGATAATGTGAGGTTATCCATTTTGGTTGGAAGAATAGAAAGGCAACTTATCATCTAAGTAAAAAGGAATTTCAGTACAAAGGGATCTACGTGTCCTCCTGCAAGAATTGCAGAAAATTGGTATGCAGGTACAACTGTTAATAAGGTAGGTGAATGGAATTTTGCATTTATTGCTAAAGGAATAGAGTGTAAAGATAGGGACGTGTGGCTGCAACACTCTACAAGGCATTAGTGAAACCGCACCTAAAGTATCGTGTACAATTATGGTCCCTTAATTCAGGAAGGATGTAGTTGTTTTGGAGGCCATTCAGAGGAGGTTCACTAGATTGACTCCAGAGATGAGGGGGATTGTTTTATGGAAAGAGATTGAGCAATTTAGGTCTGTACTTTTTGCAGTTTAGAAGAATGAGAGGGAATCTAATTGAGGTATGGAGGATGATAAGGGGGATTGAAAATGTAGGTGTAGACAGGATATTTCCTTTTGTGGGGCAATCTAAAATGACAGCTTTAGGATAAGGAGTAGATTTAAAATAGAGATGAAATAGAAATTACTTCTCTAAAAAGGTCATGATTTGTGAATCTACCCCAGCATGTGGTGGAAGTTGGGGCATTGAGTAAATTTAAGGAGGAGATGGACAGATTTTTAATTATAATAGGTTGAAAGGTAATGGAGAGCACACAGGAAAATGAAACTGAGGACAAGACGAGATCACCCAGGGTCATATTGAATGCCAGAACAGGCTCAAGGGGCTGAATTGCCTACTCCGAATGATTTTATCAGAGCACAAATCTATCATGAAACCTAGGAAAACAAAAAGCTACAATGCTATATGTTGCAGGTTAATAATTGAGCCAAATAATTCTTCATGCCTACCTGATGTGGTTGCTGCAACTGGGGCTTTCATATTTGAAGATTCAGATTCTTCCTGATGAAAGTAAATAATTGAACGATAATACATTCAAAACTATTATCTAGTTATGGAGCAAAAACAGACAGCGCTTAAATAGGTCTAACTGTGACTGGTTTGAATATGTTAGAATTGATAAATAGAACTGTAAAGTGATAAACTCTATCTAACAGACAGCAGCCTTTGATTGAAGCACTTTCTCACAAAGCAGTGTAACCAGCTGCTTGATATTGATTCAACAGAGTCAGAAACCACGAACACAGACCTTAGGTTTGGGAAATAACGACTTCTATTAAATATACCAGGGGAGAAGAAAGGAAGAATTAGATGTAAAAATAAGTTGAGCAGTTGGAAGTCTGAATCCAACAGCACACTCTTCTACTTACATTCTTCTCCTCTTTTGCATCTAGTTCAGGAACTGAACCCTTCTCAGCGATCCTCCTCCTGAAGCAAAGAAAGAAGTAACTCCATAATTTAAGTTGCACATGCATAAAAATGAGAAAGTGAATGAGATATTGAGAACAAAGAGCTGTGCAAGTAAGAAAATGAACCCAGTTGTGCTAAGATAATTGGTCACAATACTGGGGAAAACTCTTTGAAAGCTGCCTTGTATCTTATACCAGAGAAACGGAGAAACTGAGCCTTTACTGAAACAAAACAGAAATTCATGGAGAAACTCAGCAAGTCTGGTAGCATCTGTGGAAGGAAAGCACAGTCAATGTTTTGGGACCAGTCACAGATGCTATTAGACCTGCTGAGTTTCTCCAGCAATTTCTGTTTTTGTTCCACATTTCTAGCATTCGCAGTTGTTGGTTTTAATGTTGGAATCATTACTGCACTGGCATGTCACCCTAGATTAAACATTCAAGCATTGCATGGAGCTTCACATTTAGTGTTCTGTCCACTTAGAGAAGGGTGACACTAGGGATATTGATGTACTGAGTCACAACAGACTAGAACATCTCTGTTTGAGCACTGGCCAGTTAGATTATCTCATCTAGGCAGTTAGGAATTGAAGAAATAAAAAGGGTGGGCCATTCATTCTCTCAAGCCTGCTCCCCTATTCAGTAAGATCATGGCTGAACATATGCAAAAGCTTCTTTATTACCACCAGCCGCATAACTCGAGTTTCCCAATGATCCAAAATCTAGACATTTTAGTTTTGAATATGTGATGAACTCTGTACTTTGCAAACAGATTGTACTTGTGAAATTTCCCACTTAGGCAAAGTGAAATAATGGAGAATTCTGCACAGGGCTTATAACTAGATTTGCTGTCTGTGGCATCATTTCTGAGTGGCAGTTCCCCATGGCCTCCCAGCCTTGTTATTGGCAGAGATTGTGCAAACTGAGATGCTTTCCTTTCAGGTTTAGATGTGTTGGATCTGGAAGATGAAAAATTAAAAGCATGATATTTCTTTACCAAAAACGAGAATTCCACCAAGCAGCAGAAACACCTTCTCCCTTAAAATAAGGATGTGTCCTAGTTAAAACTTCAACAGCAAGCAGTGGAGGTTAGGTCATTAAATATGTTGAATATTGACTTACACAGACTGATGAGTGAGTTAAGGTTTATGAAGGGCAGGGAGGAAATAGAATAAAAGCCACACTGCATTTGGCTCAAGAGGCTGAATGGTTCACTCATGAACATATGAATTAGGAGCAACAGAAGACCATTTGGCCTCTCAAGCCTGTTCTGACATTCAATAAGGTCATGGCTGATGTAACTGTGGCTCACAACTCAAAATTCCTGCCTACCCCGATAACCTGTGACACCTTGCTTGTCAAAGATCTATCTAAAACTGCTTTAAAAATACTCAATGTCCTATTTATGTGCCTATTTCTTAGTATCTTATAAGTTGCTAGGATGATTTAACAACTCAATAACCAAGGCAAACTTGATAGTTCTCAGTCCTTTATTGTTTAGCAATTTCCATATTATAGTCTTGCTGAATATTCCTGATTAAAGACTTAATTCAAAATTATGGAAGAAATGCTTTGCATCCATTATTTATCTTCAAACAGATCAGTCAACAATAATCATCACTTAATACCAATTGAGACATTTACTTAAGGAAGGTGTTGGTTGGTATTTCAAACATATAGGAATGCTATACTGTTAAACGTCATGTATTCTTTCATCTTAAAGTTTGAGTCAACTCAACATTCCCAACACATTGGTTATTAAGGTAATGATAACAGTAATCAACTTTCAATGATGAAACAAATAGTACAGGAGAGTGCTCCAGGGTAGCTAAAAGCATAGAAGAGGTGCTGGCCTAGTGGTATTATCACTGGACTGTTAATCCATAAATTCAGATAATGTTCTGGGGACCCAGGTTCAAATCCTGCCATGGCAGATGGTGGAATTTGAATTCAATAAATATCTGGAATTATGAGCCTAATGATGTGAATCTATTGTTGATTTTTTGGAAAAACCCATTTGGTTCACTAATGTCCTTTGGGGAAGAAAACTGCCATCCTTACCTGGTCTGGCCTACATGTGACTCCAGATCCACAGCAATGTGGTTGACTCTAAACTGCCCTCTGGGCAATTAGGGATGGGCAATAAATGCTACCTAGCCAGTGAAGCCCTCATCCCGTGAGTGAATAAACAAAAAGACCACTAATGGTAGCGTGGATAAATTCCAAGATTCATCAGAAGACTGCAGATGTCTTTGATGGATATACAGTTAGAGATTACCGATTACAGGTTAAAGGGATTGTAGCAAGACAATGAATAAATTTGAAAATGAGAATGAGAACTTTCTCTCATTACCTAAAGCAAATTTGTGATCAAATGTGATTAACTCCAAATTAGTTTCTTTTTACTTCATTCCATAAGACCATAGAATGCAGCAGAAATACACATTTCAGCCAAATGAGTTTGCTGAGTCATTCAATGAGATCATGGCTAATCTGAGGGAAAAAAACTCCTCGTCTCTGAATTAAATGGGCCACGCCTTATTCTGAGATTATGCCCTCTGATCCTAGACTCTCTCAAAGGGAAAGAAACATCTTCACATCTACCCTAAGAATTTAAGAATCAAGACCATAAGAATTTTATATGCTTCAATGAGGTCAACACTCATTCTCCCAAGCTTCAATGAGCACAAGCACAAACCCTGGGCCACTAAGCTACCCATGGTCAGAAAAGAGAGATCACTACAAAGTGAGACATAGCTCAAGTGAGTATACAGTGTGGGGAATTTGGAGGCAATGTTGGAATAGAACTGGTAAATCTTTCTTTCTTTCTCCATTTTAAAAGTTTAAAATTCAGTAGTCTAGTTAAAAGGTTAATAATGTAGTTGATACAGCTGTCTGAGGGACAGCTGTCAATCACCTGAAGCCTGAAAAGGGCCTCAATTGAGATGCAGGGTCAGCCAGTGTGCTGTAAGATGTAAGAATTGGTGGACCCCATTGTAGTTTGTAGTGACCGCATCTGTAACAACATTTGGTTGCTTAAAGAACTCCAGCTCAGAGTGATGAATTGGAGTCTGGGCTTTGAACATCGGGGAGGGGGAAGAGTTACCTGGATGCTGTGTTTCAGGAAGCCAGTTATACCCTTTAGATAACTATCTCAAATTTGGTCAGTGGTTAAGGACAGGAAGGTGTGACTATCAGTTACTGAAGGAGCCTCAGCCCTTTTACTTGACCTAACAGGTTTGAGATTCTTGCTGCCAATGTGGATGAGAGCAGGGGTCGTAGGGAGGATGAGCAAACTGACCATACCACCAATGTACAGGGAGCCATTCAAGAGTGAGGAGAAAAGAGAAATGTAGTTGTAATCAGGGATAGTATAGTCAGGGGAATAGACACTGCTCTCTGTGGCCAGGATTGAGAGTTCCAAAGGCCGTATTGCCTGCCAAATGCCTGGGTTCGGGATATCACATCGAGGCTGCAGAGGAAATTGGGAGTGGTAGAGGAAAGATTCAGTTGTTGTGGTCTACATAGGTACCAACGATATAGGTGGAAAGGGGAAAGAGGTTCTGTTGAGAGAATGTGAGCAGCAAGGGACGAAAATAAAAGGTAGAACCAAAAAGGTAATAATCTCTGGATTACTACATGACCCACAGTCTAATTGGCATGATGTCAACAAGATTGAAGAGGTAATGTGTGTCTCGAAGATCGCAATGGGAGAAAGTTTTAAAATCATGGAACATAGACTCTTTCAGGGGAAGGAGGGAGCTGTTCTGATGAAGTGGGCTTTACCTGAATCGTGCCGGAATTAGGGCTGTGAATGTGGGCCTTAAATAGTGGGGGTGGGGAAAAGTCTCAATAGAGGTTATTAAAGTTTCCAGAACAGAATACAGAAGGGCTCAGGAATCTAACTTCAGGAACAACAGAGAAAGGGGACAACAGTGAGAAGGTGCAGTCAATGTAGGACTGAGGGTGTTGTAATTAAATGCGCATAATATACAAAACAAGCTAAATGAGTTTGTAGCGCAGATTGAAATTAGCGGGGGCAGTGACAGTAATGTGAGAGAATTCACCCTGCAGTTTAAGAGGGAGAAGCTTAAATAGGATGTAACAGTATTACAATTGAGTATAAAGGTAACTATAAAGACATGAAGGAGGAACTAGCCTGATTTGACTGGAAGAGAAGCCGAGCAAGGAAGATGGTGGAGCAATGGGAGGCGATTGCCGAGTGGTATTATTGCCACTATTGTTAATCTAGAGACCCAAATAATGTTCTGGGGACCCGGGTTCGAATCCCGCAACAGCAGATTGTGGAATTTGAATTCAATAAATAACTGGAATGAACAATCTTATGATGACCATGAATCCATTGTCGGGAAAAACCCATCTGGTTCATTAATGTCCTTTAGGGAAGGAAACTGCCATCCTTACCTGGTCTGGCCTACATGTGACTCCAGACCCATGGCAATGTGGTTGATTCTGAACTGCCCACTGGGCAATTAGAGATGGGCAATAAATGCTGCCTGGTCAGCAATGCCCTCATAGAACACAGAACAGTACAGCACAGTACAGGCCCTTCGGCTCACGATGTTATGCCGAACTTTTACCCTAGATCTTAGGTCTATCTAACCTCCACTGCTACCTTATACTATCATCCATATGCCTATCTAATAGCTGCTTAAATGCCCCTAATGAGGCCGACTCCACTATCCTCTCCAGCAATGAATTCCACGCCCCTACCACTCTTTGAGTAAAGAACCTATCTCTGACGTCTCCCCGATATCTACCTCCTTTCACTTTAAAACTATGTCCCCTTGTAAACGCTACCTCCACCCTAGAAAAAAGTCTCTGGCTGTCTACTCTATCTATACCTCTGATCATTTTGTACACCTCTATCAAGTCACCTCTCATCCTTCGTTGTTCTAAAGAGAAAAGCCCTAGCTCTCTCAACCTTTCCTCGTAAGACCTTCCCTCCATTCCAGGCAACATCCTGGTAAATCTCCTCTGCACCTTTTCTAACGCTTC